TGCCACGTCACAGTAGGACGTTGATTACGGTTACGTTAGCGTTGCGCGTTACGTCACCGCGGAGGGGAGTGGCGGGGAGCGCTACGTTACCGTGGAGAGGAGGGTGGAGGGGGGTTCTCAGTCGCGCAACATGTTACAATACTATACGTCAAGTGATAAAATAGTGTACCAGGATGATAAAGTACAACATTATGACTGATATTATGCACTGGACATTATCTTGGTGTATATTAAACTAAACCACAGAATACTCATATACCAGTATGTTACAACAGCCTGTTTCTATCTCCAGAGATAAATAATACAGTGGATTTCAAATATTTATTATTTATATGCTTCCTCTATGTGCCATTCATAAAGTAAATTGACAGAATAGAGTATATACTTTCTCTCTGGTGCCAAATATATTTAATAATAAGTGAATCTTTTTTATAAAACTAATTACTATCAGTCTGAATATAAATAACTATTTTTATCACTACCTCTTATTCTTTCTGTCATTTATCATTTTCAAATTGATGTACTCTGTTTAGATGTAATACTCTTATATACTTTCAGCTTTAAAGTGACTGTTACGTGCCACAATTTTAGCAATAAAGTAGCTTATTTTAGGAACAGTTCTAGTTATGAGATAGTTATCTTGTGATAGTTATCCTATAGGTTAAATAGAAGTTGAGACAGTTAATCATGATGGTAAATGTCATTTGTAAAATGGAGCGCTCCTGATTCCACTCGTTTTTCACAGAATCTTGAATCATAAACATTGAATAATTTTGGAATATCCTCTTTTTCATTGATATGCATTATAAAAGGAACAGTTTCTACTGATTTTATTTTCACAGACCATAAGTAAGATAGTAAGTAAAGATAAAATAATTTTAAATTTAAGCACTGCTCAAGGGAAACTGTTGACTGAACGCCGAGCCTGGTTTTCATAGCATGGTTCTTTTAAATGCTCATTAACTATTTCTAGCTTCTGTTACCATTACATTATTTTATGGGAAGATTAATTAAAAATCTTCAGCATTTTTATTTGTTAGTGAAGACATTAGATATGCCTGCCAAACAATATGGTCAAATGGTTCTCATTCCTAAAGTAAGTACATGGAGCTGTGTCTTTGAGAAGCTAATTATCGCCCACTTAGTCTAGAAATTCCCCGCTTTTTATGGAACCCAAAGGTCTATTAGGTTATCACTTTCTACTTCATATTATGGACACCCTGGGCCAACTATCATAACAGGAAGTGCTTGATGAGCTTTTACCATTTTCACTGCTAAATACCACAATAATATGTACCTTCAAATAGTTTATGCCTGTCTTTGAATCCCTGTCTCCCCATCATTCAGCACTGCATAACCAATGAGTTGAAACAGCACTGCTGAAGAATCTAAAGATCGATCAAATTCTGTTATTTTTGGAGCTCGGTGAGAATAAATAATAAAATGAAGGGATCATTTAATTACTCTGTGTGGCATGTTCATAATTGATTCGTTTACTAAATGATTCAGAATGTACGGAAGTTAACTTATACTTAATTGGCAGTTTTCTTTCCTTCTAAAAAAAAATATGTGCAACTACTTTCATGGTCAATTTTAGCCTCAAGATCAGAACACACAATGCACCAGCAAATATGTGACTTTTTATAACGTTGGTAATATGCATCAGCTGTCAGGCAGTATGTGTACTGGCTGAAAATAAAAGTTAATCCTTTTAAGGGCAGTACTTAACAGATCTTTCTAAGTGCAACTGATACCACATCATAGAACAATTGAAAAAGTATCACAAAATTATTATTCTGTGTAAGTCATGGCAATTACATTAAATCTTCTTGGGCAGCCACCCATTTCAGTAAGAATAAAACTCCTGTGCTCTAAGCACTTTCTCCTCTCCCCATCGCCACAGTGACAGCATGAGGGACACATTTGATTGGTTGTTTGTGTGCATGTATTTTTGTAGTTCGACTAGTTCCTGCTTCACATTTTGATGACTGTTTTCTACTTATGGCAGAACAGGAAGCCGACCAGTGACCATATTGGGAATAATCATTTATGTTTGCCTGGAGCATACAGGTCTGAGGAGCTAGAAGTCACAGATGGAGTTTCAAATTGTCAGGTTTCTTAGAAATTGTATTCTTAAAGAAAATGGCTATTTAGGTAGGCTATGTGAATTCTCTAGCTGTAGAATGAATTTAAGACACTTATTTTGGGAAGGGAATTTCATTGTGGTTATTTAGTGAGTGGACAGAAGGCAGTAGTTGGTGGACACACATCTAGTCCAGATCGGGCTGAAGGTTAGTATTTAGATAACAATGTAAACTGAATGAAAAATGGCTGATTCTTTTTTCCCCCTGCTATCAAAAGTAATGTGTAAGGTGAATGTATTTCTGGCAACTTTCTGATATGGTGAACATTCACCTGAATAACCTGACTGTGCTACAAGCTGGGCAACTGATGAAACAGGGCTCAAATCCTATTAGGAGCAAGAGATTTTCTCTTCTCCATAACATCCAGACTGGCTTATTTTTTTACTTTACCAAGCATGTTAATCCTAAAGTAATTCTTAGAGCTTTGCTCTGAGCTTGTGTAAGTGTGTTTATAGTCAGTCTAATTAAGCCTAGTTCTTGGACCACAAAGAATGTGCTCTCTCAAACTAACACACAGGCATTCGATAATTTGTGTTATTCATAATTTCATTGCTAGATGATTGAGAAAAAATTGGCTCTGAAATTATGAGTTTAATTCCTAGTTGATGTGATTGGTCACTCAAGAAGAACTCATCATATTCTCTAGAATGTTGGAACTTACAAACTTTTTACAAGAAATCTTGCAGAAACAGAATGTCATATCTCTTACTCACCTTCATTCACTTGCCTCTTTGAATTAGGTCACGATTATGACCTTCATTTTGGAGGGTACAATTAAGGTAGGCTTATAGAAGATAGACTGTGGGCAGGTTAATGCTTTACCTCTGATCATATTAAAATAACCAGTAGATTTTCAGAAAATGTAGTTTGATGTTTTTGGAGTGAAAATATTCATTTAAATGCATTGCTCACACTTAAAATCTATAATAAGCATAATTGTTTATGCATTTTTATTAACAAAGTATACAAACTCAACTAACATTGGAAAGCACTCTCCATCTGCATGTTTTTCCCTCAAGAATACTGACTGAATTTCAATTAAATTTAATAAGTTGTAAGGAAATTTCATTTTGTTCAATACTGGTTCAATATAACCCCGCCTCACAAAAATCTAAAATCTGTCAGTTTTCTGGGAAGCATAACAAACAACTGGTAAAACATGCAGTATAAACATTTAAGTTATACTACTTTAATTTATTCCAGGGGGATGTGGTAGCATAGTTACTTGAGGCACTATGCTACAAGCTGGAAGGTCACGGGTTCGAGTCCCGATGAGGTGGATTTTTTTCAATTTACTTAATCTTTCCATCCGCACTATGGCCCTGCAGTCGACTCAGCCTCTAACAGAAATGAGTACCAGGAATCTTCCTGGGGGGTAAAGTGCAGCCAGGGCATAAGGCTGACAACCTGACCGCCATCCTATGGGCCTTCATGGCCTGTTACAGGAATAGCTTTACTTTTTTATGTTTAGTTTCGTTTATATCAATTTTTATTGTTGTGTATATTAATGAAGTACAAGAAAAAATAATTTAAATCCTTAGGCAATGCAATATCTACTGCTAATAGTTCTGCATCTATAGATTTGTATCTGCAGCAGGTCAATGTCAGGATCAGTAATGTATTCAAAACTGGAGAACTCATTAGGAAACTACATACACCTTTTTGTGTTGTAGGTGAGTGTTTGTGTCCATGTAATTCTACATTTGCAGCAGTAATGGCGTGTTGCATGTGTTGTCTGTGTTGTTACAGGGGCTGAGCAGACCTGCATGCCTACTGTAAGAGATCTGGTTCTTCTGATTGGAAAATGTAGTCGACCCCTGAGCAAGCCTGCCATTGTTGCTTCTACTTTGCCTGCTCTAGTGTGATGATGATGATGATTCTTACCATTTAATGGACGTTGTTCCCAACAGCCAGTCTTATACAAATTATTAATGTCAAATCTAAACATGTATTTATATATAATGGGATAGGCAACAGGGTCTAATATGTGAATTTGTTTTATTATGAAGAGCAGAGGTACACCCTGATTTACGCTGTAGTCACAAGGGAAAATTGTATAATGCAAAACACTTAAATCTACATGCTTTTCTGTAAACTCGTGTTAAAAAATGGGATTTGAGATCCTGAATGATATTTTTCAGTGGTAATGTTGGCAATTTGATACTTCCTGGTTATTTATAATTAATATATAAAACACTGTAATAACATAAAAAAGGTATTTAAACATATAAATATGACATTAAATAATAAGTTAACATCAGAGGATACTGTGTCCTTTAATACTAATACTTGTAAGAAATATCAAAAGAACAATCAGGGTATTACTGTACTGTTAATGAGCAATACATATATTCAGTTTCATTTTCTTTCTACCTTCTTTCATTCCTTCTTGTTTTCAGTAGTAAAAGAATTCTGCACTCTTAACAATTAGGCCATGTTTTTGTCTGAATGACTGACTGAATTCCTGCTCAGAACAATATGAATAGGAAGTAACTGTCATAACTGATTCTCTTAAAATCTTGTACTAACTTTCAACTTTCAGTTTAAATAATTTCCATTTATTATAACTAAGTCTGCATCTGTTTCAAGTACCATATTTTCTGGTGTATAAGGTGCAGTTCTTTTACCTTAAAAATGGCCCTAGAAATTACAGTGCATCTTAAACACAGGGAATTAATGATGAAAATGAAACACATCTGTATTTCATCTTATTTTGTTTATTACATAATTCAGAATTATTTACTTTCATTAATACTAAATAAATATATTCCAAGTAATAAATTTTGTTTGCTAAATAAGTAATTAAAAAAATAATTTCTCCTCCCTAAACCATTATGTGGATCTTACACACCCACAAATACAGTATATTCTAAGAACCACAAAACTTTGTCAGAAAGGTAAGATCTGTGTTTAATCCAGGTTTTCATGTATTACCTTCATATAATGCATTCTTATTAGTCACATTTTTTAGATGACAATTATCTGTCAGAACTTGGCGTATACATAAAAAGGTCGCACTTAGAGGAACATGTTGAAGATTTTAGATAACACATTTTATAATATTTTAAGCTTTGCACAAAACTGCAGAGAATTAATGTAATATAAATATTATAAGCTTTGTATTATGAAAAGCTTTGAGACCAAATATGCAAATGCTTACTGTTATTCACTTAAATGTTTATGCAAATCAGAAGTAATACAGTTTTATACCTTTTTATATATGCACATATTTTAATTATTTGCAGACTGCCAAGAACACTTGCATTCATAGCCTCGTATGGCAGAGTTAAGAAAGACTGGATGTTGGGAACATTCATTCCTATTTTCAATCTTGACTGAAACCCTTTGGAATGAAAGTAGCCAAATACTAGCATCCTATTACCTTTGATGTTTGTACATGAAAACAAATATCCTAAGCTTTGATTAAATTAGATGCAGAGTAGATGTGTAAGAAGTTGCATGCTAAGAGACACAAGAAAACTTACTAGAGCATAAGAGGCCATGGTTAGAATGGATTTCATCACAAGATTTTTTTATTTAAATACAGAACATTTCAATTTTTAAATTCATAGTAATTTGTTATTAAAGGATGAATAATTATTGTTGTTATTTTATTTTATTATCATTATTATTATTACAACTTTAAACACAGAGTAGAGAATAAAGGCATGATTTGTCACAGAATATAAATATAATTTTGCATGTCTTGCAAAATGTGTTTAAAATAGTCTACAAACTGGATGGCAAACACATGATCCATAAAAGGTCAATAATCTAGGAAAACATGTGTTTTAATCTGTTGAAGAGAACTTTTGTATCTTTGTTTTTTAAATTTTATTGTAAATTTAGGTATATTGAACTTAACCTCACTATACATATATTTTACAGTAAAATCTCAAAATTAAAGGCCTCAGTTACTTTCTTTTGTTAACGTTTAGCAATGTGTGGAATTCAGACTTAACTTTGACATGAAATCAGTTCACTTTTAACACATCCCTTCACTTGTGGAAAAGTCTATTATAAACTTTCGTATTTAGACTTAAAATGAGGACTCCTATCACAGTGATTTATAACATATTAATGTGAAGGTCACAGAAGATGTAACCAAAGAAGTCATCTGTTGGCTGTAAACTGCATTACATATAAATATTTATTATTGTTATTTGTACCCAAGAATGAAAATAAATTATCTTCACACTTTTGCATAACATAAATCAGAGTTGTGTATCATAATTTTGAGGGGTAATGTGTTAATTGTGAAATAAAATTTATACGTTCATATTTTACATTTATGGGAAGATGAGTGGCTTTTCATGTGGTTATAGTGGATGATACATTGCAAATTTATAGGCTGAATTATTTTCATACTTCGTCCATTTTTATTTCCTTTATTATGTCTGCAAAGTCTATTTCAAATTTCAGATATGAAGTTCACAAAAATGTGGTCTGCTACGGGCATCAAGTAAACTGAAAACTTAATAAATAAGTTATATATCCTAAGGATATTTTCTTTTATTCAAAGATTGCATTTTTCAGCCATGCTTTGGATTGACCCAAGTCTCTCTTGTTCTCCACGTAGGTATTCTGCCATCTGAGCTACTGGAATTATGCACTTCAGGACAGTATAACATTCACCTACAATTGGTTGACATTATAGCCTTGAGTAATATTTCTTAGCTTGAAGAGAATAAAACGTTTGTCTTTCATGGTAGGATTGAACCCCAACCCCTGAAGGTGTTACGCCAGTTAAAATGAATTTACAAATGTGAGGTTGACAGAATTTTCTTGTACAGCACCTTTAATTTGAAATAAAAGTATATAAAATGTTTGTATTTTTAGAGGAAATCTTCGGCAGATTTATTTTGAAGTAGCAGAATTTGCATAGGTGAAGACTGACAAATTTTCCATTCACATATTAAACACATTTCTCCCAAACTCATAAAGTGACAGACATGATTACTTTTAGCGTGGAAAACAGGTTCTTCTTGAAGTTACTTTCAAATCCACTACTAATATTTTTCAACACTTCAATGCGGCAGTGTACTAAAATATAAGAGCAGTGACTTCTGGACTGCTACAAAATATAAACTTGTGTGTGCCTGTATATATCAGGCTTGTTCAATTGAAACTCATTCAGGATTTGGGTGAAAAACAGGTTGTTGAAAATGGTCTCTAATGGTTTTGAGGCAGGCAACCTGATGGATTTATTCTGCAAAGTACTCCTTGCTGCTGGTGAAATCACTGGTGCCTTTTCATCTTCATCTGATTTCAGTATAGACCTTGTGATGCTTTCTTCAGGGGGCCAAACATATGGAAATCACATAGTGACCTGTATGGGGGATAGTCTGTAATTTGTTAAGTTTACTTTTCTGTTCTTGTTTTTAGTCCCCTTTTTACTATGGCTTCCATTGCATGAAATGTAGTGTGTCCTAGGAAGTTTGAGGCATGTGGGGATGGGCCTTATCCTGCAACACTGTGACACCCCCTTCAGCATACTAGGACATTTTCTCTCAATGGTGATATGAAGAACTCAGATGATTCCACATTAATACTATGTGTTGGTGGTGTCACAGTGGACAACCCTCAAAACCAGGAATATAAATGACATCTTATTGGTCCTGTTTGGATGAATTAAACACCTTGAATGCCAGAATTTAACCATGTCACACTGTTTCCTAATTTTCTAATGTGCCTGTTCTGTTGCACCATTCGAAGTGAACCACTGGTATATCATGCACACAGCAATATGATCATCTGCAATGAACAGTATTTGGCAGCAGTGCCACAAATGTGTTTAATTTGAACAATCCTCATATAACCTATGTTCATACTTCATTATGCTCGTCATATATATTATTTTTTAACATTAATTATGGTTCAAAGAAAAAATAGTATATTAATATATTAGGAACAAGTAGCACATTTAGAAGGGACACAATATGAAGAATAAGGAAAAGCATTGCGGCAGCAGGTAGTTATATGATTAAAAAACAGGAAGTACTGGCCAATGATAAGATGACATGGAACAAGATCGCGCTGTTATTAGCACACTTTATGGATTATTAATAAATGTGCATAAATACAGGGTGGGGCACAGAAACTTCCTTATTGTGAAGGGAGGGGAGGTCGCAGAAAAGTGGGGATAGGCTCGGTGAACGCAGCAGTTGCGGAAGTTACTGTCTAATACCCCTCAGTAGGAAACATGAGGTAGACGAGTGAGCAGCGTGCGTTTGCTGTCAAAGCCTATTTTTCGAACAACCATTCCTAAGTGGCGTGTTTTCCATACTCACTTCGGAATTAAGCCCAGAGGTCCGGTTCCCGAACGGAAATCGATTGTTTTATGGGTAGAGAACTTTAGGACAACCGGGAGTGTGGCGAAAAAAATCATCAGGACAACAACGGACTGTTACAATGCCAGAAAATGTGGAGGCACTTCGACAGTCGATTTTGAGATCTCCAAGACGCTCCGCTCGCAAACATGCAGTCGCTCTAGACATCTAATCGTTCAATGCTCCGAATTCTTCACGAACATCTTCATTTCCATCCCTATAAGATGGGTGTTGTGCAAGAATTGTCACCATGTGATTTCCAGAACCGAATAACAGCGTCCAAAATGTTATTGGAAACTTTACCCCCTGACGTACTTGTTTTCTTTAGTGATGAGGCACATTTTCACTTATCTGGATATGTCAACAAGCAGAATATGCGCTATTGGAGTGGTAACAATCCCAGAGAGCTCCATGAGAGGCCACTTCATAGTGATAAGGTGACAGTATGGTGTGCGTTGTCGAGAGTTGGAGTTATTGGCTCTTATTTTTTTGAAGAAGACAATCATGCAGTTACTGTCATTTCACAGCGGTATGTGGACATGATTAAAAACTTTTTCGAACCAGCTCTTGAAGAAATGCATCTAGGAAATGTCTGGTTCCAACAGGATGGTGCCACGGCCCACACAGCCCGAGCTTCAATGACAGTTTTGAGGGCATAGTTCCCCGGACAGCTCATCTCGCTTCAAGGTGACATCCCATGGGCAGTGCACTCACCTGATCTAACGCCCTGTATTTTTTATGGGGATACCTCAAGACAGAGGTTTTTAAACATCGCCCCACAAACCTGCTTCAGCTGAAGAATGTTATTCGGGGAAGTAGCCCAAATTCCATTGAACATGTTGGAACGTGCAGAGGGGAACTTCAGAAAACGGTTGCATCAGTGCATAGAGAACGGTGGCCACCACCTTCAAGATATTTTGTTTAAAACTACATCATTTAAAACTTTAAAGTATGCTCTTTCATTAGCTGAACATATATTTTGTCTATCGGCAATAAGTTTTCTTTTATTCGCCTCCAAAAAAAGGAAGTTTCTGCGCCCCACCCTGTATATTCTAATTCAGAGTTATAATAAAGTGTTCTTTGTCCTTACGATTCCACAGCACTTTTTTCATCTAAAAATATGTTTGCTGGCACTCATAAGCCCAGTTTTTGCCTCAGGGGCAAACAATTCATGCACAGAAATGTGACTTCTGACTTTTGATGACTTTGCTGGTATATGTACAAAGTGAAAAAAAAATACACTGCAGTTCCATCTTATAATCCTAACCCAATACGTATTTTTTTCATGGACTTTTTAGTGTGCAGTTTGCTGAGATTATGTTAAATATTTGACATTCAGTGTCCAGATGTCTTTAAATGTTTTGTAACCTTAACAGACACACATTCACTAAGTTACAAATCTGCAAAAACAGTTGTTTGTCATGAACCCTTTCCTTGTTTTTTAATTATCCCACGCAGAAATATTGTCATTCTGATCTGAATTTATTTCATGTTTCATAAAATCAATCTTCATTATAGCTTTTGGGACTCTTCAACAAAATAAATTATAGATTGGCATGGAAAAGGTTAATTGCTGTGCAAACAAATCTGTTAAGTATGATTTTTATTCTCCTTATATTAAAATAATGACCGCCTCTGTGGTCTAGTGGTCAAAGTTCCTGGCTACAGATCCAGACGTCCGGGTTTGACTCCCGGCGCCACCAGATTTTCTGAGAAGTAGTGACTCTGGAACGGGTGCACTCAACCTCATAAGGATAATTTCAAAGTTCCTGGCTACAGATCCAGACAGTGGCTCTGGTCTAGAAAACTGAGATTAACAGCCGTGGGGATTCGTTGCTGTGACCATATAAAACCCTCTATCCGCAAAAGTTGACACTAACTTCGCCGACAAGCAACGGTCGCTCAGTCAGTATAGTTCACTTGCAGACTACAGGCCAAGGAGTTTGCTTTTGTTTTATATTACAATAATGTGAATGATCATCTGCAGCATACTAATCTGTGCATTTAATATAAGGCTGTTAAAGTAACCAACGAAAGAAATATTTCCAGTCCTTACTAAATGATATACCACTTCATTCAGTTGAGGAACTGACAGCATTAGAAATGATCAGATTGTACTTATTCTTATTTCTTGTAATGATTAAAAATACAAAGAACTTTCCATGATTTTAGAGAAGCAAATGTCTCAGTAAAATCTTTGGATTTTGTTTATGTTTTGTGGAGGGCCTGGGACAACAGCCCCAGTTGCCCCTCCTTGAATCCAGTCCTTGG